CTTTCATAGGCTGAGTCAGCGGGGTGTTTGCTCTGCAGCACTTTTGGGAGCATCAGGGCAGGGCCCTCTGCAGCAAGGGCTTGATGGTTTCAGCCACCAGCCCAGCTGGGTCCACATCCAGCCAGCCATGTGGTGAAACCAGGCTCTACACCCCACACCAAAGCAGTGGTGGCAGAAGTGGGACTGGAGATACATTCACTACCCAGGCAGCCTTTTGTCTGCTTTAGTCATTGTTTTTCACATATTGACTACACAAGCAGTAGATAGCTGGCTGTAAATATATTTTTACATATGTGGCTCTATATGCTTATATAGAATAGATAGTTGAACAATTTAAGAAAATGAGCAGGTATGTAGATAACCTGGTGAAATGAGAATCTGAAGTGAAAAAATTCCAAGTTTAACCATAGGAGATGAACCCCTCACAAGGCAGAATGCCCAGGGCTATTCGGTGGTGTTCAGAGCAGCCCATCCGTGACACCTAGCTCCACTGACATCCAGAGAGATGGCTGCATGGCAGCTGCTTTTTAGGGACAACATTTGGGCTGTGCTAACTCCTGAATTACACACAGGGATTTCCTGGGAATGTGCTAGTTGGCCCTAGTTGAATCATGCCAAGAACAATTTTAATAATTAAACATTTTAGACACTGGAGTTATCTGCCAGGTAATGCTCCCAGGTGCTGTTTTATTTGCAAGTATAGAGATGCGGCTTGAGATTTCTAGCTCTTGCTTTTTACTGTTGCTGAGCACCTCCAGTTCTCTAACTTTGGCAGACATTCTGCCTGTGTAAAACTGCTGAAAAACAGGCTTTTAGGTGGTAAGACTTTTCGAAAACAGAGATTTGTTTTTTAAAAAGAGGAGGGCTTTATACGGGTGTGTTTATATACCCACATATACAGACACATATATAAAATGAAATATACATTCACATAAATCTATAGCTATATTTATATCACTGCAACATTTAATGTTAGTTGGGCAATATCCTCTAGATGCATCATAGCTGAGAATTTCCAGCAGCACAACATGAGAACTTTGCTGATCAAGGCAGCAAAAATGAGACCCATGGCACAAGGCTACAATACAGATATCTGGCCAAGGAGTGGGCCAATACGCAGTTCTTTGACTTGAGCATAAACATGCAGAGACAAATATCAGCAAATTTGCACTTTAACCACAACATCTTTTTTCACTTGCAGAAATTGGTTTCACCATGCAAAACCCCACTAACACAGAGAGATGCAAATAAGCTCTTCGCCAGCATAATTTGCTGCATTTCCAGTACTTGGTGAAGTGTCTTCCTTTAACTGTGACAATTCATACACTCAAAAGAACAAATGACTATTTGGTGACCTTTATAACTTTTCTCCTCCTGTCTTTGCTTTATTCTGAGACTTCTGTGGGTAATGCAAGCCAGCCCTAAAGCTTTATAAGAATGAATACAAATGATGCAATATGAACCTCTGATATCTCAACATGTTCCTCTTTTGCTTCTGTTGGGTCCCTTTGTGTCTACTGTTGCTCTTTCAGGATCAAGCCTGCTGTGTGGCCAAACCTTCCTGATCATAAAAAAACGCTGGAGCAACTATGCAAGAAGCCAAAAAATGTAGGTACTTCCATTGTTGTTTTCACCTGAGTAGAGACTACTGAGAACAAAACCAACATTCATGAGAGACAATATGTGCATTTGCTGTGAACTGGAACATATTTCAGAAATTACTTCTAAATTTCACTGAAGACAGCCCACATTTGCACAGGCAGATATTAGTCAAGGATTGCCCAGTGATAGGACGAGGGGCAATGGGCATAAATTGCAGCACAGGAAGTTCCAGCTCGACATGAGGAAAAACTTCTTTACTGTGAGGGTGACGGAGCACTGGAACAGGCTGCCCAGAGAGGTTGTGGAGTCTCCTTCGCTGGAGACATTCAAAACCCAACTGGACGTGTTCCTGTGCAACCTGCCCTAGGCGACCCTGCCTTAGCAGGTGGGTTGGACCAGATGATCTTCAGAGGTCCCTTCCAACCCCTACCATTCTGTGATTCTGTGATTCTGTGATTCTGTGATTCTGTGATATGGAAGTAACTGACAATTCAGCTAGTGCCTGAGCTTTGACTTGAGCAAAATAACTACAGAGGACTGGAAAACTTGATATATGAAGAAAGGTTGAAGGAATTGAGTTTGTTTTTAGAAAAGTGGAAGCTTGGGGTGGGGACTACTAATCACAACCTTCCAATACCTAAAGTGTAGACAGAGAGAGAGTGGAGGTGCTCTCGCCACGAGGCTGCATAGTGACAGGACCAGATGCAACATGCACGTGTTGCTTCAGGGCAAACTTCACCTGGATATAAGAAAAAAATCTTTCTCCATGAGAACAATTAAACATTGCGTAGGTTACCCAGGGAAGAGTTAGGTTCTTCTTCACTGGAAGTGTTCAAGGCTTGGCTTGACAGAGTTCTGGATAAGCCAATCCAGATCTTGCTTCTGGCATAAGGTTGGACCGGTAGGATTCTAGAGGTCCTTTCCAGTTGAGACGCTTTGGTGTTTCTGTGAAACTCTGATCATGGGGCTGGATGGTGACCCTCTGCAAACATCCCTGGTGATGCCTGTGTATCCTTACACTGCCAGTAGAATTGCTCATACACCATGCAGTACATGAAGCACTTTGCCAGATAAAAGCCAGATGGACAAATGTTACAAACCGTAAAGTGTAGGATTAACCCATTGCCTTAAAACTATGTGTCTAGTGCATTTTTTCCCTAAGAAACTCATCAGTGCTGTTCTCTCCAGTTGGTACATTATTAGCGTGTTCTTAATTCAATAAGAGGTCTCAGGCAAGTTTCTCACCCCACATGCTCCCCAGTGCAGGGATTCCTAATGTGTTTCAGGAAGTCGTGGCAAATTTTTACTTCACTCACTGCTGAATTAGGAAGGTAAAACTGAAAGGAACTGCCTGGGTCAACGCACTCATTCCCGTTGAAATAGCAGGCATGCAATAAATGGCTCAGAAATGGCTCAGAAAAGTCTCTGAAACAGCAGTTCCCATCACATTGTGCGGAGCATAAAAGGCTCTTCAGTGGCGTTGCCTGCAGGAGGCCACTGGGTAGACACAGATCAATATGGAAAGGATTTTAAGCCACGTGATAGTTTATTCTCTGCTAACCTGTTGTTCAGCCTGCTCAGGGTTACTTTCAGAGTTAAAGAAATAATAAACATCCTTCTAAAATAAAATGAATTGTCAAAATACCTTTTCTCTTACGCTAATACCCACTGTTAACTGACTGTGCTGTTCCCTTTGCCACACAGAATTTTGATATAAGCTTTAATGCAGAGAGTTTTGGCTACGTTCATATCCACAAAGTGGATGGCATTCTTGCAAAAGCTGAACTGGAAAATTTTCTGCAGCCGTCAGCTTCTCCAGAGACAAACCTTCCAGAAAAATTTGGGAGCAGGTCAGACCTGAAGATGATCCCTGCGATGACAGACAAAAGCAACCTAAACCCGCCAGTGACTTACGGAGGACTCTGGCCAGCTGAAGCCCTGCACAGGCTCCTGGGCACCGGTCAGTTCGCTGTCACCGAGGACAGCTGCGGCTCCAGCACGTACGAGGTGTGCCACAGCAACGGGGTGCCGCTGTGCACCGACGGTTTCACCCTTTCCTCCGCTCGTCCCCCGGACCCCTCTGGCCAGCCTGGACCAGAGCCCCTAAATGGCGACGCTGCATCCCAGATGCTGCCTACCAGTGAAATGAGGTCACCAAACGATGAGGAAGCCTATGTCACGATGTCTAGCTTCTACAAAATTCAGTAAACCTCACGGGGATGACAGCACACCATTTTTTTTCTAACACAAGCAGGACACTGAAGCTTTCTGTTTTGTTTTCCTGCATCCTGTGAGCTCCCACCTGCGCAATGCACCCTGCTCGCCCTGCAACGGCGTACGTGGGTTCTGCCACGTTTCACTGATAAGTGGCCTAACTTCAGCTCTCAGTATGCCGGTAGCAATCTCCACTGCAGCAGAAATCAAATTTAATTCAATCTCACTTTAATCTTCAGACCTGATGAATCCAGAGCAATGACAATGCAGTCCTGGGTGAGGATTGCAGCATGTCTCGTAAAAGTTAGTGAACTCTTCTGTTAACCTCTTGGTTGCAGAGTTAATCTCTTATTAATGCCTAAGCATGAAGTAATCTCTTATTCATGCCTAAGCAACAAATTCAAGTTAAATAGAATTCAACCTCTTTTAAACAGCGGTAGGTCAAGGGTAACTCCTCTGCAGGCAGTGTAAGTCCATGACTTTGCAAAACGCCTGTAAATGAGAGTTGCTATCATTAGTTGTCTGGGGATTCAGGAGCTCAGTCACCACAAAGGGAGTTTGCTGAGCCCCCAGGAAAAGGCACTGGGACTCACTTGAGTAAGATGTTTTCTCAGGCTGATTTTTTTTTTTTTTTTTTTTGAGAGAGAGAGATTAAAACAAAGCAAAACCTACATGACACTACTTTTCGCTGTCAGTAAAGATCTGCACTGGGGCCAATTTTAAGATCCACAGGTACTTCTCCTAGTGCTATCTATTAAAGATCTTCAGTATTTCATGTACTAGCAATGATTAGCTAGGAAAACAAAACAAAATCAATGAAAAGCAAAGTCCCATCTCTTCCTATAAACTGAACTGTGGCTGTAGAATGCATGATGCCGTTTTTCCCTGCAGCTCTTGTGCAAGCATTAGTGCAGCCTGTAAGGACTTTCTAGGACAGAAGGGCTGAGTGGACCGTGTTTGTTTACTAGCATTATTTACAATGGCTGTCACTGCATGAGAATACTTCAAATTTGTCCAGGCAATTTTCTCATGCAACATCTGACCTAGGAAGATGGATGGAGCATCATGGATCCCGCCAGTGATCAGAAGACCTATATATTTTTAAAATACCTTGTAAATTGCCTGGAGATAGCTTTTTTTTTTTTTTTAAATGTTTTGACAGAGGAAGGCATCCTGTCCCTTCCCATTCACCCTTCTCTGGACTCTGTGCCCAGCTCTGAGGGGTTCCACACATGCTGTCACGCATAGGTGGCTGAGCCACTTCGGAGCCCCTCTGGGATGCTGCGCATTGCAGAGAACACGCTCGGAGATAAAGCTGCTACAGCCACATGGTCGCATGAGAGCTGAGCAGTGCGGCCATGGGAAATCCAAACCGCTTCGCTGCACTCTAGGTTTGGGGTTCACTTCACCGGGCAGGCTCAGTTCCTCTAGCTGCTTGAAATTCTCTTTTATTGAAACTCATTCACATCCCCAGAGTCTAAGGGTAAAAAGAACCCTCTCTCATCCTCAGAGCTGCTTGAATTTTTTCTGACTGGTAATAATCACTGAGCCGTCACTATATTTGATGTAGCCTGGTGGAGAAAAAACAGTGCTCCCAGGACAGCACTCCACCTTCTCCACCTCTTCCCAGTGCCAGGGGAACCTTCAAATGGGGATAACCTTACAGTCCCTGCGTGCAAAGGGGTGGAAGATTTGGCCCAAGGCATCCTGGTGACATTTTACAGAATGGTTTTTATTGCTGTTTTTCGCTGGATGAAACATTGATTAATGCAATAGAAAAAGACGAAAGCCCTGGAAATTAATTTGCTTTATAATGCTTGTATTTCTTTTTAAAAAGAGCTGCTGTTTATGCTGTGCTGACTTGCACAGTGCAATTGTAGATGCAGACAGACTATGCTGGAAAGATACCATCTTATAGTAGCACAGAGAGAGAGGGTGGTCAAGCATTGGAACAGGCTGCATAGGGAGGTGGTGGAGTCACCATCACTGGAAGTGTTCAAAAAACGTGTGGATGTGGCACTTCGGGACATGGTTTAGGGGCCATGGTGGTGTTGGGTTGACGATTAGACTTGATCTCAAAGGTTCTTTTCAACCTTAATGATTCTGTGATTCTGTGATTCAGTGACAAACAAAAAGGGAATAGAAGAAGAAGCAAAAGCGCATCAGAAAAATCCTGTACAGTATGTGCTACGCTTGTTTTGAACTCATGCACACATTTTTAAGGATTAAAGGGGACATCACAAATGTGTATTTGCATTATTTAAGAAGTAAGGTACCCATGTGTAACAGTCTTTCTGTTTGTCCAGAAAGGTATACTGCTCTATAATACAGAAAAAGTGGTAGAAACATGATGTTTGCTCTTTAATATGGGAAAAGTAGTAGAAACCTGATGTTTATTTACTTTAATCACTCTGAAATAGTTATATTTTGCCTATGTAGTATTCATATTTTTGCATAGCTGCTAATGTTTAAACATTTTATTTTCTATGACTTCTTATTTAATTAGATAACATGTAACCTTGGTTTTATAATGTTTTTACTGTATTAAAAGGACATGGACTACTTGCATGATCTAGTTATGTTGCTCAAATTCAGTCTTCTAATATATATCTATCAAGATAGGACTTACTCTGCCCTCACTGAAATTAAGATAACTCCAGGGGCTCTACCTAGCTTCAGGCAGGATAAAGCCCAAATAAATATGGACAATTCAGAGGCCTGAAAACACTGTAGGATAACAGCAAGCATCACCCTCCCTTCATCGTGACCACCCTGCGAGCCAAGAAAGCCTCTGTGCAACTCCAGTCCCTATGTTTTGGATGGGGCATGCCTTTGTTCATGCTGACTCCAATTCCTAGATTATTACCCAGAAAACAGAGAGGCAACAGCTCTGGGAATTAGACAGGTGAAGCCAATCTTCTGCCAGTGGCTCATACTTACTCAGGTGAGCCAGAAGCTTTGTCCAAGCCCCCATGTGCAGTCTGCACCACAAGCACCAGAAAAGCAAAAAACTCCCCAGCTTTGCAATAGTGTAGGTATGTGAACAGTAACGCAAAGTCCCGAGTAGACTGTGTCCTCAGAGATGCTACTTTGATACGACACTGTTGAATGCTGACAAATACACAACTGACAGAAAACAAAGCAACCTTTTGTTAATTATGTTCCTCCCAATGTAACTTTTCTTAGTGAAGGATATAGGCTTCACTAACTCATGCCAGACATGGGTGTTACCATATTCCTGATGTGCACCCAGACATATGACGAAGCCTATTCAGAAGAGTATCTTTCCAAGAGAGCAGTGGTGAGCACAGCCAAATGGAGGAGCGTTAAAGGTTAGCATTAAGGTTTCTGAGGGACCATGGCTCCCAGAAATGGCCATGAAATATAATAGCAACGAGCAAGCTGAAAGCTTATGGGTAAGAATCAGAGACTAAGGCAACAAAGGGAACCCTGTGGTTGCTGTTTACTACAGGCTGCCTGATCAAGGGGAGTCTATTGATGAAGCCTTCTTACTCCAGCATCACATTCACAGGCTTTTATCCTGCTGGGGAACTTCAACCACCCCGACATCTGCTGGAAAAGTAGCACAGCGAGCTGTAAGGCAATCCAGGAGACTCCTGAAGTGCATCCAGATAAATTCTTAAGCTAGGTGACAGACAGCCCTCCCAGAGGGGATATGGCATACTGGATCTGTTGGTCATCAACACAAGTGAGCTAATTGGGGGCGTCAAGACTGGAGGCAGCCTGGGCTGCAGTGATCATGCACTGGTGGAGTTTGCAGTCCTGAGGGTTATGGGGAAGGCAGGGAATGCAGGGTAAAGTCAGGACCCTGCATTTTAGGAAAGCAAACTTCCAGCGCTTCAAGGAGTTAGTCAATAGGACCCCCTGGGAAACTGCCCTCAGGGGCAAGGGAGCAGAAGAGAGCTGGCAGATCTTTAAGGACACTTTCCATAGAGCACAAGAGCTCTTGATCCCCAGGTGTAAGGAACCAGGAAAGGAAGGCAAGAGACTGGCATGGCTGAGTCGAGACCTGCTGGTCACACTACAGGGCAAGAAGGAAACATACAGGCAGTGGAAGCAGGGACAGGTATCCTGGGAAGAGTACAAGGATGCTGCCCAGTTGTGTAGGGATGGGGTCAGGAAGGCCAAGGTGGCAGCTGGAGCTGAACTTGGCAGGGGCTGCAAAGAATAAACAGAAGGGCTTCTACAGGTATGTCAGCCAGAAAAGCAAGGTCAAAGAAAGCGTAACCCCTTTGATGAGCAAGACTGGCAGACTGGTAATGATGGACGAGGAGAAAGAAGGCTGGGGTATGCAG